CAGTGTCCCAGGGTCATGTGAAACCTGCTGCAACCACCCAGCAGACGGGGGGAATAAAAACCAAACACTCCCCACCCCACCTCCGCTGCCACTCCTCAACAGAAATGCTCACAACAATGAAAACCTCGGACAGGAGGAAGAGCGTCTCCAGGCGGGCAGGCAGGTGTCTTGCTCGGCCGTGGCTTGGGGGGCACTTTTTTCAGTGCCATTGTAACTTCGAACAGTCACTAAGCGAACTGTTGTAAGTCGAGGACTACCTGTACTTCATCACTTTTTTCCTTTTGGGGGGGGTCATCAAGTTTTTGACACCTTGCTGGGCGACTGGTGGTACTCGGATATTGCCATATCCTAAAAGTGGTACAATGGGTGAAAAGGTTGAAAAGCCCTGGCCTAGATGAGCTTAGATACGTCCTTTTAGACTTGCATGGTAAATTGGGTCTGGGGGGAATAAGTGACATTTGTTTCCACGTGAGGGTCTGATTTCAGTATTGCTGCAGAGAGTGCAATCCATACTAGAGCTTGCTTTGGGACCATAGTTAGAAAGAAAATGTCTGCAGTTTGAAGAGTGTTACGTAGTGTGGTATCATAGTACATCTTAATGAGTAAGCTAAGAGATCTAGATTCAAGGCTGATCTCTGCTGCAGATTCCTTAAAATTGTAGTCTTTGTAGTAGACTGTAAATTGTAATCTTCCTATCTTAGTTAAAAAAAATAAATATGCCAACACTGGCCTGACTTTAAATGGAACCGAGACTACAGAATCCCTTGCAGACGAGTAGAAATATTGCATGAGTGTTAACCAACACCCTTTCTCGCTGGCTTCCTAGCGTCATCATCATAGATGAGGCTCACGAGCGCACCCTGCACACCGACATTCTGTTTGGCTTGATTAAGGACATTGCTCGCTTCCGGCCTGAGCTGAAGGTGCTGATTGCCAGTGCCACCCTGGACACCGAGCGCTTTTCCACCTTCTTTGACGATGCTCCCATCTTCCGCATCCCGGGGCGCCGTTTTCCTGTGGACATTTATTACACTAAGGTCAGCCAGCACCAAGTGTTTTTGTGTTTGCGTGTGTGTGTGTGAAGGGCTGAGGAAACCGAGAGATAAAGTGATCGACCTCAGTGGCTGCGGCTTTGAGGAGAGCATGTAAGATTTCCAGAATGCAAATTCCTACGTCCAAATTTGAATTTATACAATCACAAGTTGAAGCTGTAGATTGTACCATTTTTTGTTTTGTTTTATAGCTATTGTGTGTGTGACAGCATCACAGGCTTTATTCCCATAGCTGGATTTCATTCTATCCAACTCTCCTAACTTGGGTTATCTTTTGTTCAATCATTAGTTCCTGTAGCTAGTCCTTGACTTATGACCACAATTGGGACTAAAAAATTTTCAGATAGTCTTACCCTTAACAAATCTTTCTAGTTTCACAAAATTAGAGCAAAAGGAGAAAATAACCTATAGAAGCATATCTAATTCAGAGCAGAAAAACTGAGCGAGGACCAAGGACAAGCAATAGTAGAAACCATTCAGGGAGGTGAGATTGTGTTTATTTAACTCAAGAAGAGTTACAGATAATCCTCAGTCATTGTGACACTCTACTGTCCTTGCCATCCTCACTCGATCTTCGCCGTCTTCCTCCTCTCACTGCTGCGAGGTCTGTCTGGCCTGGCCCTTCACAAGGCAGCTGCTGGTTGCGCCAGACTTGAACACTGGGCGCTATCTAACAAAATGAAATTCAATGGTGAAAAAAGTAAGGTTCTACATTTAGGCAAGAAAAACCAAATGCACAGGTATAGTATAGGGGGTACCTTGCTCAATAGTAGTAACTATGAGAGGGACCTCAGAGTCCTAGTAGACAATCACTTAAATAGGAGCCAGCAGTATGCTGCAGCTGCCAAAAAGGCCAACACAGTGCTAGGCTGCATTAACAGAGGGATAGAATCAAGATCACGTGAAGTATTAATACCACTTTACAATGCCTTGGTAAGGCCACACTTGGAATACTGCATCCAGTTTTGGTCACCACGATGTAAAAAAGATGTTAAGACTCTAGAAAGAGTATAGAGAAGAGCAACAAAGATGATCAGGAGACTGGAGGCTAAAACATATAAGGAATGGTTGCTGGAATTGGGTATGTCTAGTTTACTGAAGAGAAGGACGAGGGGGGACATGATAGTAGTCTTCCAATATCTCAGGGGCTGCCACAAAGAAGAGGGAGTCAAGCTATTCTCCAAAGCGCCTGAAGGCAGGACAAGAAGCAACGGATGGAAACTAATCAAGGAGAGAAGCAACCTAGAACTAAGGAGAAACTTCCTGACAGTTAGAACAATTAACCAGTGGAACAACCTGCCTCCAAAAGCAGTGAATGCTCCAACACTGGAAGTTTTTAAGAAGAGACTGGACAGCCATTTGTCCGAAATGGTATAGGGTTTCCTGCTTGAGCAGGGGGTTGGACTTTCTTCTTCTTCTTCTTCTTCTTCTTCTTCTTCTTCTTCTTCTTCTTCTTCTTCTTCTTCTTCTTCTTCTTCTTCTTCTTCTTCTTCTTCTTCTTCTTCTTCTTCTTCTTCTTCTTCTTCTTCTTCTTCTTCTTCTTCTTCTTCTTCTTCTTCTTCTT